TATTTTGAAAACATCAATTTATTGGAGAATTTTTTTTTGAACAGTTTGTTTTTAACAGTTGATTACCCTGAACATTAAGTGTAATTCAACTGAAATAATAAAAAAAATAATCGTTTTATTTCGATTACGTTGTTTTTGTAATCGTTGCCAGCCATAATCGTAATTGCGATTAAAATACGATTAATTGAGCAGCCCTAAGTTGGAGTACCTCCTGATTCCTCCTTGATCTCCAAATGTACAGTATTTTAAGTGCATGTTGATGATAAACAAAGTGTGTGTGTGTGTGTGTGTGTGTGTGTGTGTGTGTGTGTGTGTGTGTGTGTGTGTGTGTGTGTGTGTGTGTGTGTGTGTGTGTGTGTGTGTGTGTGTGTGTAGCTCTACATGGTGAGGACTATGCTGGAGTCTCTGATCGCGGATAAAAGCGGCTCCAAGAAGACGCTGCGCAGCGGGCTGGATGGCCCCACCATCCTGGACATCGAGAGGTTCCACCGCGAGTCGTTCTTCTTCACACACCTGCTCAACTTCAGCGGTGAGAAGCAGGATCAGTTTCTGTACTGGGCTTTATTAAAACTGCTGAGAGAGTGGAGTTAGAATAATAAAGCTCTGAGAAAGACAAAGCAAACAGAGGACATTGTGTTTGGCTCACCGTCTGACTCTCATGGAGTTCCTTCTGTCATCCGACCTGAACAAAACAAGTGGAAATACCACATTGAAGATATCTGGAAAAGGTCAACACAAAGAATTTATTTTCTACATCGCCTTAAGTCTTTCCGTAGTGTTTGTCCACTGCTTTAAAGTCAAAAGGTCTCCACTGAATGAAAACCTGCTCAAGGATTGTAGTTCAACCTTTTGAGAAAGTCTATGAACATATTGACATATTAAAGGGGCCCTTTTATACTAATTTTCAGCTTCAAATTTGTATTTTTTGCAAAATAATGTTTTTTTATTTTTCTCATACCAGACCACTTACATGCACTAAAACCTATAGACCTCACTACAGGAACATACACTGATGATGTGCCCTTGGGAGTGTTCCCAGTGACTCAGCGCTTTTACAGACAATAATACGCCCACAGGAGCAAACAGTGCCTTTCAGTAAACCGCTCGTTAATAAAGGAAAGCATCAGAACACGTAATCAGCTTTTCAGACAGTCGTCCTCGCTCCCTGCTGCATCATGGGGGATTACAATGTTTATTCCTGTGATGAATCAATGTTTGTTTCCTCTGCCTCTTTATTATTTCTCCTGGGAGCTGGAAACATGGTCAGGCTAACAATGTATTATGGTTTTAGGAAAAATATCACTCGCCACCGACTTGAGCTTCAATATCAGAGGCCTGTACGACGAAGCTGAATTTTTGCTTAGCCGGCTAACTTCAGGGAAAACTTGGGGTTTCCGGTAGGGATGTCCCGATCACCTTTTTTTGCTCCCGATCCGATTCCGATCATTTGATTTTGACAATTAGCCGATACCGATTTTTCCCGATCCGATCTTTATGCAATGCATTAAGAGGAAAAAAAGAAAAAAAGCATTCAAGTTGTCCCTTAAGGTTATTTTTTTATTTAAATTGGATATTCTATCCAACATGGATATAGCTTCTTTCTTTCACAGCAGCATTGGATCAGTTCAGTTGTGCAGCATTGGATCAAAACAAATAAAGCTTATCAGTACTCGTTAGCTTACTGCTACAATTAGACACTGCGCCCTGCCCACTCTGTTGCCAGATTTGAGAGAAATAAGCAACCAGGTCTATGAAAACAAGCCCCAAAGAAGCAACACATACATGATGTTCTGTAATTTGAAACCAAAACTAAGGCCTCAGGATGACTTTAAGACTTGAACATGGGCCTTTTTGTTTTGTAACAATTAATAAAAAAATTAATAAAAAAAGATCCCGATCCCCGATTTTTTTCTCCCGATTCCAATCTTTTGAAAATCACGTGATCGGCTCCGATCCCCGATCACGTGAT